TTGGGATTTTTTTTGTGGACTCTCTCACTACTAATAGGACCCGATTAACTTTTGCAAGAGTTTGTGTACAAATATCTAAAGACTCCCCTCCTGGATGTGATCCCACTACAAATTGATGGAGAAGATCTTGTTCTTCAAGTCCTATATGATTGGAATCCTTCATAGTGTGAAGGCTGTGGATCTCTGGTTCATCCCTTCTCCCTATGCCCCTTTAATCCCAATCCAAAACCTAAGCTCCCTCCTCCGATGAAAAGCAGAGGCTGAAGCTCAAGTAGACATCCTTGTCAACATCCGGTTGGCCCCTCCTCCAACACCCGAACTCCTTCAAGACCTCCTTTCACTCCCCCTGCCAACCCCTTTCCAACTCCTCCCAACCCCACCTCCTCAACCCAACTGCAATCAATTAATCCTACCTCGTTGACCCTCCATCCTCCTGTTTCTCCTCCCATTGTTGTTGTCGCAGCATCCTCTCTCCCTCCTGAGAAAGAATCTACTATCCCTAACCTTAATTTCTCTGTTGAGTAATCCTCATCTCAGACCTCCCTCCCAAACCCCAAATGAATAATCTTCCCAACTTCAGCCCCTGTTTCTGTTGCTAATCAGTTTGCATCTCTGGCTACTAACGAAACTTCTTGCCATCTTCCAGACTCTAAACCTTCCTCTGCGAATTCTTTCTGCTCGGCCTATGCTAATCAAACCCAAAACCAAAAATCTCAAATATCTCCTATAGCCCCACTAGTCTCAAAATCCACAAGAGGTAAATATGCCAAAAATGTAAAATCCTCTTAATTTTAGCCCATGTCCCTCCCTCCTATTGCCTATTGGAATGTGATGGGATTTAACAATCCCAACAGGTACAAGCTTGCAAGGACTTGGTTAATTCTCAGAAACTCAACTTTTTGTGTATACTGGAAGCCAAAACCCAAGCGTTTGCTATGGATGACCCTTGGTTTATCAATTCACATCTCATTTTTATCAATGAGAATAGTTGTAATAATTTCAGCTTTTCTACTCCTTGTAGAATTTGGATTAAATGAGATTCTTCCCATTTCTACTTTTCTCCTTCCTATCTTTCAGCTCAACTGATCCTTGGTATCCTCTCCTACGTCTCTTTTCCACCTATTTTTCTATCGGTTGTCTATGCGGCCGACACTGCTACTGAAAGGGAATCTCTTTGGGATCAGCTTAGAGGCCTGGTTCCTGATGCCTCTCATCCTTGGATTATTTTGGGAGACTTTAACTACTATACAATTGATTCAGAGAAAACTGGGGGAACCCCCCTATCAACTGGCAGACTCGACGAGCTTAATAGCCTTATTTTTTATTGTGGAGTTCAAGATCTTACTTCTATTGGCCTCTTCTACACTTGGTTCAATCTTCGGATTGATTAACCCATCCATATCAAGCTTGATAAGGTCCTTGTTAATGCTAGTTTACTTGATGTCATGCCCCAAGCTTTTTACAAAGTTTTGCCCGCGGTAAGCTCTGATCACTCTCCACTCAAAATTCTCCCTTAGACCCTTTTCTAAATAAAAATCTGATTTGGATTAAGGGCCAATTAGACTCTATACAAGGTTACTGGGCTTCCTGGATCTCTCAACGAGCTAAAGCTTATTGGCTCTCTAAAGGGGAAGATAATTTGGGCTTCCTGTATGCCAAAATTTATGCTAGAAATAATCATAATCATATAAGGGAAATCTCCACCCCATTAGGGCATTTCACCTCCTAGAGGATATTGGTGCTGGTATTATCCATCATTTTAAGAGCCTTTTTAACTAACCTAAATCTCCTAATGTCACAGATTACTATTTTCCCTCTGGCAAAACTGTTCCCCCAAACCTCATCCCATCTCTTTTGGCCCCTTTCTCTGATGAAGAAATCAAGTTTGTGGTTTTTGATTGCTAAAGTGACTCTGCTCTAGGCCTTGATGATTTCACTTTTGCCTTTTATAAGCTCACTTGACACATTATTGGTTTTCAAGTATGCAATGCTTTCAAAAGCTTTTTATCATTCTAGCTACCCCCAAATCACCATTACTTTAATCCCCAAGGGATCTCATGCTATCAGCATTTCTGATTACAGACCCATCTCTTTATGTAATATTTTCTATAAAATTGTGGCGAAGCTTCTTGCCAACAAAATTAAACTGGTTTTACCTTGTATTATACATGAAAGTCAAGCTGGCTTTGTCAAGGGCAATTGTTCCACTGACAATATCCTTCTGGCTTCTAAGGTGTTGAGAGAATTTTCTTCCTCACATAATCTTTTTTGTGCCAAACTAGATATTATGAAAGCTTTCGATTCGGTGTTGAATGATTTTCTAGTTTGCAAGATGAAGCAAAAAAAGTTTTCCTGAGAAGTTTATTAACTGGATTAAAGGCTGCATCTTTAATATACACTTTTCCTTTTGCTTGAACGACTCTCTTGAGGGTTTCTTCAGGTCCTCTTCTGGCTTCCGACAGGGGTGCCCTTTTTCACCCCTTCTTTTTTGCATAGTGATGGACGGTCTCTCATGTTGCCTTCTTTTAAACAATCCTCCTGAGACTCTTGACATTATTTAGAATTGGGTCCATATGAGTCACTTTCTCTATGTAGATAACCTGCTCGTGTTTGGTAAAGCCACTCCCTCCTCTGTTGTTGGATTAAATGGGGCCTTATCCATATTAGCTAAATCTTATGGACTCAAAATTAATCCCAATAAGAGCTCGATTATCTTTTCCAAAATTACCACTTCCACTGACGTCATTTGTGACATTCTTGGGATTTCCAATGTGGAATCCTACCTCAAATACCTAGGGCTCCTGATCTCTCCTTCTAGATTAAATTCTTCTCACTTCCAACCACTACTAAGTAAAAGTTTTACTCTACTTGATGGTTGGAAAGTTAATTTCTTTCTTTTGCAAGTAGGGTCTAATTCATCAAGTTTATTATTGCCAACACTTTGGCCTATTTGATTAGGGGCTCTATTATAGCCGTGGCCTGTTGTAAATCCATCTCCAAACATTATTCTAGGTTCAATTTTTATGGCCGCATTTCTGAGAGGAAACTTTATATCATTGCTTAGAAGGATACTTGCCTACCTGAGAAGTTTGGTAGCTTTGGCATCCCCTCTTTTGAGGCTTTTTACCATGCTTCCACCTGCTCTTTCATTTGGCATATTTACAATACACACTCGACCTTAAGTAGCTGGTTTAGATCCAAATACCTCTCTATTTGGAAACAGTCTCTTGCCTATGCTTCTAAATATTGGAAGCTTGCTTGCATTACGGCTCATAAGATCAAAAACTGCATTTCTTTTGTAATCTCCATGCAAAGTTTTTTATCTATGGCTTGGGATATGTGGTTTAATGGGATCTCTTTAGATGATATACATCCATTTGTTAATTTTGACTTGCCACTTGTTAAGGACTACATTGCCAATTGGCACTGGGAGCTTCCTACATCGTGGACGGAATCCCTTCATTCTGTTATTGTCACGATCTCCATTGCTGAGAACCGGCTATGTCCTGGGATGGCTCTCATAACTTGACCTTTAAAAATTTTATGGATCAGTTTTATTGCAATCTGGAAGAGTTTAATTGGCATAAATTCATTTGGCACAAGTCTCATGCCCTTAGATATGCATTTTATGCTTGGATGGTGATTATGAAAAAGTTGAAATGTGCTGAGGTTCTAATTAAAAGATCTTTCACTATTAATGCTTCTTGGCTCTTTTGTTTAAATGCCCATGAGACTCATAACCATCTATTATTTGATTGTGATTTCTCTTTAATGGTTATTACTAATTTCCTTCAAGATTTGAAGGGATTCTTTTTAAGGCCAAACCTTTTCCAAGTTTATGATTTTATTGATAACCTGACACAGCTCAATTGTGGGGAGAATCATTTCTATTTTTTCGTGGTTGCTTGCACAATTTATCATCTTTAGCAGGAACGAAACCTTAGACGCTTCTTTGAGAGCTGGAACAACCCCTCCCAGCTCCTTATCGTTATTAAGAAGGCTATTTTTCTCAAAGTTAAGAATTGGAAATGCTTTCAAAACGTCAAAGCTCGTTTTTCTGTTCTCTCTTAATCAGTGTTGGCTTCTATTTATTTGGTCCGGATTGCATCTCTTGATTTTGCTTCCCAGTTGTGCTTCCTTTTGTATCGTTGCTCGATGTTTTTGAGGTGATTTTTTGCTACGGTTGATGATGATTGGGGTCAACCTGTGCTCTCGCCTCAGATTGTTAGTGGACTCTTCATGCCCTCTGTTGGATGCTCCCTATTATGGCCTTCAAGAAATCGGATTTCTCCTGGATGGCCTTTATGGCAAACTTGGTTGGCTTGTTTCTTTGCTTTGGTTCCTTGTGGCTAAGTGTCTTCTTCCGATTTGTTATGTGATGTAGCTTGGGTGTTGGTCCCATCCTGAGGAACTTTTATTTGGTCCGGTGAACGTACGTTGAGCTAGCACTAAGATCACAGGCACAAAACGAGAAATACCAAGCAAATACCGAGCAATACCAACAATAACGAGAAATACCATTATGTGAAGACAAAATACCGAGCAATACCGAGTAATCCCAAAAAATACCGAGTTTTTCTAGAAAAAAACTCGATATTTTTTGGGATTACTCGATATTGGTCTTCACAGAGCGGTATTCCTCGTTATTACCAAACAATACCTAGCAATACCGACCAAATACCGAGCAAAAACCGAGTAACAATCCTCTGACCGAACGTAGAGTTACATCCGGTTAGAGGACGTAATAAAAGTTCCATTCTGAGACCGCTTTTGACCTTGTTGGTCTTCTTTTGTTGGTTTTATGTTTGATTTTTTTTTCTTATAGGCCTTCTTGTTACTTGTAATTTTCATCATTCACTTATAGGCTTTGCTCCAAATTAAAAAAAAAAAAAAATCAATCTATTTATTGAATCTCTTCATCAGTCTTTGCTGACGTAAGTGGGAAGTAACTGAAGTCGACGTTACTTCAACCTGATGTTCAAATTTCAACTGACCTTTCGTCTTGACGTCCGAAATGGCGTAGCAGATCTCATAGGTTATCCCGATAATAACGGAAATGCCACCCGCCCCGGGCCTTCTTCCCTCCTTCTCCACCGCCTGCTCCTCCCCTTCTCCCCTCCTCTACTCCAAAGACAAGAAGCCACGATCCTTCCACGCCGCGCCGAACCCCACGTCACTTTCGCGCCGCGTTTACGCCCTTTTGATTATATCTGTCCTCTGCCTTGCCGCCGGCCTCGGCGGGATCGCCTTCACCGCCGCCAACCTCCGGCGGCCACCGAGAACTGTGACGGTTTTTCGATGCGGACGTGCGGAGGACTCGCTCAGGACCTACCGATCCAAAGTCCTTGGGGAGGAGGGGCTTACGGCGAGGCCGAAGATCCTCGGATTCGTCGGGGTGCAGACAGGGTTTTCCTCGCAGGATCGTCGCGCAGCTCTGCGGAACACTTGGTTTCCGGCGAGTACAGAGGGTTTGATGAGGTTAGATCTGGGATCTTATGTGCTCTGTATGATTGCTTTACTTTGGGTTTTGATTTGGGATATAGAATTGGGGTCTAATATCGTTGTTATGTGGTGTGCTTTACATTGGGGGAAGGAAAATTTATAAGCGAGATGTAGATTTGAAATAGGAATGTTTTCGCAGGATTGTAAACTGTAAATCTGAAGCTTATGCGTGGGATAATTTAATTTGCGTAGTGTAATTTTTTTGAGTGGATTGATATTTTGATGAACATGGCAGTCGGTTGATTATAAAATTGGATTTTTTTTTCTGCGATATAGAACCATTTTGTTTAAATTATGCTAATTTGTAGATAATAGTTTATGACCTTACATTTGGAATAATTGCTGACGAAGTTGAATTAAGAAACAATTCCTCTTTTTCATGATGAATATTGAGAATCTTATATCCACTTCCTTTATTATCATGCATGCATCAGCGCGCATTAGAATTTGAACTACATGCTTTCAGGGAGTTAATTAGCGTTTTAAATGGTTTCAATGGTAAATGCAAAGGCACCGAAATGAGCTTTGGTGTTTTTTGAAGTTTTGATAAATGCTGGAGTGATTCTTGATGTTCAAATAGGATATATGAAACCTTCTCTAGAATTCTTAGCTCGTCATTAGCCCTGGTGCTAAATTGGCACCAGCATACAAGGGTTTTATGCTGCTTTTTAAAGGAATTATTTTGAGAATTTTTTCTATCTTGAAAACATTTGACCACAAATTAGCTTAGCAGATGAACTTATGGTCTCCTAAAGAGAGCTATAAGAATTTTTGTTTGTTGATGAAACATTCTCTTATCCTTCAATGCACATTTGCATCTCTTGTTCATCACTGGTTTCCTGTGCATGTTGGCCGGCAATTTTTCCTTCAATGCACATCTGCATCTCCTGTTTGCAGGGTATTGCTAATGTAAATGTTTTACATTGATAATTTGATCTTTGCTTGCGAGGGATCAATGCATTCGCCTGTTGCTGATTGGCGGTTGGGTGTTAGGCATTATTGCATTCAACATCTATTGCTGATCATTTCTCGCAGGTATATTATTGTGCATATGACAAATCTTCCATTATTGTAGTAGTCATTTACATTTTCCATGATCTTCTGTCTCATGCTTGTAGAAAATCCATCACATTGGCGGTACATTCATCGTCATTACTTGTAGATAGGATTGTTGTATGCATTATAAACTCTCCGTTGTTGTATGTGGGCAAGCTGTGTTGAGTGCAAATCTTCTAATACTATTTGTAGGGCATTGCTGATGTTGACTGCGGGCTAGCGGACATTTGAGAAGTTACAACATTCATTGCATATTAGATTTAATTGCCAAACGACACTGCAATCCCCACCCCACTGCATTCTTTTGTGTATACTGGATGAATTGATTGTTTGATGCATGTTTATCCCTTCTTGCAGGGTGCTTTTGATATGAACATTGCACATTGGTCACATGATCTTTGTTAGTGAACAAACAGTACTTGAAATTTCAGCCGTCGCGAGTTCCCTGTTATTCATTCATGCTTGCTTGGATGATTTGAATTGTTATATTGCTTATGTATTTTTTAGTTAATTGTGCATTTTAGAAGTTAGGGTTTTATTCCTTATGGTTCAAATATATGTTTTCAGTCACTTGGAATTTTGGTAGCATTTTTACGTCTCCCCCATTTAGGAAAAATTTGGAGAGCTAGGCCTTCCCATCATGCTATAAGAGCATGTATGGTAGGTGTCATATTACACCCTGGCCGTAGTCTGCAATCCCACCGCGCTACAACAGCGCGTACGGGTCTTCGAGGTACCTATTTGAAAATACATAATTTCTTTCCCCGCAGACACTGAAGCACTTACACGGGTACTTAAAATTGTCTCCACCATGCTACAAGATGGTGTATAGGGCCTACCCGCCACTTCGTAAGCGCCGCACTAGGTCCCCTCCTACAGTGCTACAAGATTGCATATAGGAGGTCCTCCAGGGCGTCGCGAGCGCCGAGTATAGGATTTCAAGTTTGAGAGCTTATATCTTGGCGATCGGCGAGGTGACAGTGTCAGCAATGTCGAGACGGTGATAACAAAAATCACAAAATATATTTTCCATTTTTTTGTCTTCGCCTTATTTTCATTTTCTTCCTTTTTTTCTCATTTTTCTTTTTTTTATCTTTTTTTCTTTTTTCGTTTCCTTTTTTTCCTTTTTTGTTTTTTTTTTTCATTCTGTTTTTTTTATTATTTTTTGGAATAATAATAATAATATTAACATTATTATTATTAGTATAGATAATAATAATAATAACTATTATTATTATACTTAATAACTGTTAGGATAATAATTAAATAAATACAAGCAATGATTTTTACCTATTAACATGATCAAGTGAGAGTCGAGTTGATTGGCCTTTGAACGAGCTCGGATGGGTCGGATTAGGAGACCTGGACGAATAGGGCTTAGTCGACTAGATAAATGCAGATGGGCTAGAGGTTTTGCTGCTTGAGGGCTACGATGGCATCATACATGTATGAGGATTTTGTGAGATTTGAGCAATTTTTTTTTTTTTTTTTTTGGATTCGAATACATGTCAACAATGGTAGTGAAACCTGCAATGTTTTATGGTGCAGAATGTTCGCCATTAAAAGAGAAGCATAATATTAAGTGTTGTAGAGATGAGGATGCTCAAGTGGATGAGTGGCTTTACTCTTAGAGATAGGATACGAAATGAGTATATACATGAAAATATTGGAGTAGCTCTAGTGGAAGATAGATTAAGAAGAGTCATCTTAGATAGTTTGGTCACATAAAATGGTGTCCTTCTGATGACCCGGTTAGAAAAGTAGATGTATTAGATTTGATTTATGTTAAGAAAGGTAGAGGTAGACCTAAAAAGACTTGGTTAGAAAATATTAGAAATGACCTTTCTTTATTAGATTTAGATGAGAATTTGACTCTTTACAAGACATAATGAAGAAAAAGGATTCATAGCCGACCACCACATAGTGGGATAAAAGCTTGTTGTTGTTGTTATAGAGATTATGGTTGACTCATACTTGCTAATAATGAATAACACACCATTGTATTAAGGTTTTATAGAACTATAGTTCATAGAAGGTAGTGCTATTTTAAAAAAGTGCAAAATACTAAAAAAATAATGAACCATTTAATATTTAATTATATAAGAGATAAATGTTTAAATACAAAAATGCCTTATCAATGATATTTACATAGACCATAATATTTAGTTAATATACATGAAGATTAATCAAAGGCACAATATTCCATGCCAAATTTTTTACAAAAGTTTGATTTAAATTTAACAATTTTCTATTTCTTTTAGCTAATAAATGTAGCAATATGGTTTATAATAAGATGATAGTTTTACAAAATGAATAATATAGATAACAATATTCAAACGAACTCGAATCAATAATCTATAATAGAATATTGTTAGCATTCAACTAAGTTAGAAACAACAAACTTTGCTCTAAACAAATAAAAACGGTGCAATAGAAGAAGGAAATGCATGAAAATAATAAGAAGAAAAGAGTATTAATAATTACTTGATGGACAGAAGAGAGATATGTGTAATTTTGCACTATTGAGCACACATAACACAACACGTGCTATATTGCTTTCTTGCACCCTATGATACACAAGTACAGACACATTGACATGGATACAAGACACATTGATTATTAAAAATATAGGACGCAAATATAAGTTAGACACGACATTATAATTTTTATATCTTAAAAAATAGTGTATAGAAACTAAAAAAACAAAATTTTAAGAATAATTGAGAAAGATTTAGTCATTTAATTTGGATTTGTGCTTAAAATAATTAATATTTGGATGCCGAGAGCTATGCATCAAATATTGTGTTAGGCATTGAGCGGAAAGATGAAAATGTTATAAAAAGTCAAATATCAATGTTGTGCAATAGACATCAGGCATCAATGTAGAGACTGCATCATCCATCGATATGAGATGTGTCGGTCAATAAGTTGAGATAATGTTTGATAAAGATGAGATGTTGAGATGAAATAAAGGTGTGATTGTGGGTGTATAAATTGATGACATCGAGTCTCAAAATCAAGATAACGTTAGACTTTGATATTGAGATGATTTTGAAATGTTGATGTTATGACGGTGTTGGACATCGATGTTGAGATGACATCGAACATTGCTATGAAATCATAGTCTTAATTTGCTAGAGAAAAATGAAAATAGGAATGTTCGGAGAATGGGGTATTGAGTGTGCATGATTTATTTGTGGTACTAGTGAGGAAATAAGACATTTAGTTTTTTGAAATATAAGAAATTATATTAAAAATTATTTTTCATAAAATATTTAAAGCACGCATGTCCATCATTCATGTTCAATTTATTTTTAATAATTTTTAGTCGGACGTGTCTTCATTGTGTTTGACACATGTTGGGGGTGAGTCAAACACTTGTTGTGTTTGAGGAGAAGTGTTGGTGCATCATATAGCTTGCACCACTATATGAAAATCTCACACTTTTGTTTTGGCTTGAATTTATCATTTGGTTTAAGCTAAAATGGACAAAAACCCTTTGAATTTGAATCTGATATTAAGCATGAAAACATAATTAATTTGGAACTCCGAGAGAAATTTAGTTTAATGAAAATAAAACTAAACCATTATTTGAACAAGGGCTAAAATTTGAATTTGAATGTGAGATTAATCATGAATTTCAAATTGAAATGGACTGAACTGGAAACTACTGCATATTGGTTTCTTTACGCTTTTTTTTTTTTGATGTTCTATTGACTACTGTTGAGACCTTTTCATGCAAGCTATTATCGCATCATTATGAACTAACTTTTACAATCATATGTGAAAGGAAAAATAGGAAATCAAAAGCTGATTTCTATAATTTGATCTTGAGAGAATTGAAACCTTCAGTTTTTTATTGGATCTTAAAGGATTTTGGGGATTTGTTTATTTTGGGTTCTACACAGGCTATATATAGCACCTTTGCGGCATGTAAAGAACATATATGGTGAAATTAAGTTTAGTTCCTCTCAATTCTTATGTGTTATTAGAAGTAGAATCTTTGAGTACTTCACGAGGCTTGAGGCCGTTATGAACGGGTAATTCATATTCAAGCTGTTGGTCCGTTTGAAAATTTTCAGCTCCATATTTCCTTATAGGAAAAAGGTTCACATTGTTCATGTCAGTGGTGCAACTTTGTGGAATCTGTTTCACTTTTGGCCTTTTTGGTTAGGTTATGCTTCCTTACTACTAATTATGAATAGTTTTGGCTTTCCATTCATTTCTATCAGTAATTTTCTCAAACGACATGCATATAGGCGAGCTGGCAAAACTTGTGTGTATTTGTGCGCGTGTTTGTAATTATCAGATGCTATTTGTTTATTGTTTAATGTTCGAAAGAAGCAATATAGACGAGAATATGTTGATTTCAAACTTCATATAAATGCTTGGGCTTTCTTCTCTGTGCAAATAGTTTTCCCGGCAATGATTTTGTGGCGCTTTCTTATAATGTTTTTCAAGCAAATTAATATAATGGAAGCTAGAAAATCGCCCCAGGGATTAGAAGGTATACTACTATCCAAGGTTTTAAAAGGCGAAATCGGGAATCGAGGCGTTTTTTCTAAGCGAGGCGAGGCGTAAGCCTCGAGGCGGATCGAGGCGTAAGTCTCAAAAATGATTAAAATAAATTAATTTAAAATTATAAATAATGACAAAAAATAACAAAATATTATGTCAACTATAAATTTGAAGATTTGTTTCAATATAATACTGGTCTGCCGGGGGTCCAACGGGGCGCTGCCCCTTGGCGGGGTTCGACCTGCCCAGTCAGGTCGCAGGGTCAAGGGGCAGCGCCCCTGAGGGGTTTCCGGGGGCAGCGCCGGTTTTGAAATTCTGCTTGGTTTTTAAGTTTGTAAGTTGTTAGTATGAAAAGATACCGAGCGGTTCCTAGCATGTACCGCTCGGTACGGTACCGAAGCGTGACGAACTCAAACCAGCGGTCGAACGGGAAGAAAGGTCATTCCAGAGCACTCCTGCCGGATCGAAGAAGTCACTTGTGGTCGAAGTCGAACACGAAGCAGCTCTCAAAAGGGACGAAGTGGAAGCAGCGCGCTCGAAAGATAAGGAATTTGTTCTTCGCTGTGAGCTCCGTCGAATCCTAATGAGGCGTCGCCTCACACTGCCTCGAGGCATAACGCCTCGACGCGTACGCCTCGCTGAAAAAAATCACGCGCCTCGTCAAATACATTGAGGCTTAAGCCTCAAGGCGCCAGGTTAGCGCCTCGAACTGAATCGCGCCTCTGTTCGGACGCCTCGACCGCTTTTTTAATCGTGGCTACTATCTTTAATATGCGTTGTTGTTACACCAAGCTGAAAGCAAAATAAATGCATATTGGAACTGTGTACCACAGCTATTTATATGTAAAACTATGGCACAGTGCCTGATCATCTCCATTTTTCTTACATTGAGCGTAGCAGTACAATGATATACTTGTCATACAACTAATTAAAAATGAGGCTATATACGATTAACAGGCTTATGTAAATATTTACTGTTATACTTTTATTTGCAAGTTCTTAGGATTTTTTTTTAATAAGGTATTCTTCATCGGTAAATTTGCTTATATTCACTTGCAGTTTAGAACAATCTACTGGATTAGCTTTCAGATTTGTTATTGGACGAACAAAAGATTCCAAAAAGATGGCTGATCTTAAGAAAGAAGAGGAGAATTATCATGATTTTATGTTTATTGATATTGAAGAAGAGTATGCAAAACTTCCTTATAAAACGTAAGTGTGGAGGACCTCTTGTTTCTTGATTTTGTTACTACCCTTGTCATATATCACAAGTGCAAACTTCACCTTTTAGGTTGGCATTTTTCAAAGCAGCGTTCAAGCTTTTTGATGCAGAATTTTATGTTAAGGCAGATGATGATATTTATCTTAGACCAGGTATGCTACGTGGTTATTACGTATTGCTGTTATTTTTATTCAATGTAATGATCTATGTTATCATCAACTAGACCGGCTCGCCACTCTCTTGGCCAAGGATCGTGCTCATCGCCGCACTTATATTGGTTGTATGAAAAAGGGTCCCATAATCACTAATCCAAAGTTGAAATGGTATGTGGCACCTTGCTGTTGTTCAACTTTCTGATTACTTCATGAACAGTACAGCCGGGTGATGCATGTGATAGTAAACAATCTGCTTTTTTTTTTTTTTAAATTTGTAAATTAAGGTTTGAAAGCTCTGGTCATCTTCTTGGGAATGAATATTTCCTTCATGCATATGGACCAATATATGCCTTGTCCGCAGAAGTGGTAGCATCTCTTGCAGAAGCAAGAAATGACAGGTTAGTTCAGTTACCATTTGTGACAACATCTAATGTATTTTTTTAGAGTTTGTTTTAGAAATTTTATGTTAAAAAGACACCATTTATGTAGGCTAGCCTCTTTGAATTCATGTTTTGTTTCTGTATGGGGAGATGGGGAGCGTATAAATTCACAATCAGACTCATTTCAACTGGTTGTGCAGTTGAAAGGCAATACTTACTCCACTCGCATCTAATGCATCATGCATCTGCCACTATTGGTTACAATCCTATTCCATTCTGGAATAGAAAAAAAATTCTCTGCATTCTCCATCTTTTATATTGTGGATGCTTAAATTAGCTATTAGTGGAACAATAACAATGACCTTTCAGAAATATAAAAGGACATTACAAGTATCTAATAGATTTCTCTCAAGTTGCCTAATATTTGTTAAAATTGGGTTCTTATTCAACTCTTGAACACTTGTCGATTAGATGTGGATTTTTGTTTTCTTTTTATAGATGACTAGATGATTTTGAGACATAACCTGCATACCCTTTGAGATCAGTTATGGCATTTTGCTGCGTGAAGTGCACACATTTTAACTTAGATGTGTGCTTTTTTTTGTGTGCTTGAATAAGTTTGAAATATAACAAGCTTGACCACTATTATGGCATTCTGATTTGAGAGGTTCACATAATATATGGCTTAAAATGCTGAACTTAAAATGTAAAGTGGTAGCCTTTCTTTAGAAATATGTGATTGCCCTGTCCAATTAGGATTTATCACCCATGTTACAGGATGTACCGTCTGGAGTAGAATACTACCACATGGTGCATTGTGAGAAGGTATCCATCTTATTTTTTTATCAATCTTATTATTGACAATTCGTTTTCCTTCTTTTTTCTAAATGTGCCAGTCTGAGAATGTTCGACAATGAGGATGTCACCATAGGTTCTTGGATGCTTGCCATGAATGTCCATCATGAAGATAACCGGGCAATATGTGATCCCAAGTGTACACCAAATTCAATTGCCATCTGGGATTTACCAAGATGTTCAGGTGAAAAGAATACCTTTTTTTTGTCCTCTTACTTTTCTGCATATCATTTTGCATTAGTCACGGATTTTCTTACTAGACATTTGCAAGAGGATATGCCATGGTGTATGTTTTTTGCTGATGATATTCTTCTAGTTGATAAGATTAGAGAGAGAGAGTTTCAGGTAAGCTTGAATTATGGAGGTCAACCTTAAAGTCTAAAGGTTTTTGTTTGAGTAGATCTAAAATCAAATACCTGGAGTATAATTTTAGTAGTAATAGATATAGTGAGGGGATTATGACTTTGGGCGATTAAGTCATTAATTAGAGCACACGTTTTAGATATCTCGGGTCTTTTGTCCAAAGTGATGGTGAAATAGATGGGGGATATTATTAGTAGAATTCAAATTAGATGATTGAAGTGGAGGAATGCATCGGGCTTAGTGTATGAGAGAAAAGTACTCCTCAAACTTAAGGGAAAATTCTATAAGATGGTGGTGAGACTTGCAATGTTTTATGGTGCAAAATATTGGCCATTAAAATAGAAGCATAAAATTAAGTTAAGTGTCGCAGCGATGAGGATGCTCAGATGGATGAGTGGCTTTACTCTTAGAGATAGAATGAAAAATGAGCATATATATGAAAATGTTGGAGTAGTTCTAGTGGAAGATAAAATTAGAGAGAATCGCCTTAGATGGTTTGGTCACATAAAATGTCAACCTTTCGATGACCCGGTTAAAAGAGTAGATGTATTAGATTTGATCAATGTTAAGAAAGTTAGATGTAGACCTAAAAAGAATTGGTTATAACATATTATAAATGACATTTTTTAATTAGATTTAAATGAAAATTTTACTTCAACAGGGCACAATAGAGAAAATGATTTATTTAGCCGAACCCACGTAGTGGGATAAAGCTTGATGCTGTTGATGTTAAATGCAATTATAAAAAATTTAAGCTAAATACAAAAGCACTTTATATTTCTTTCCCAATAGATAGAGTTATAACTCTGAAGAAAAATGTGCACAAATCATCATAGCAAAACTTCTTTCAGGCCTTTCAGATTTCCACATAATCACCCATTTCAACTAATTAAACACACATTCTAATGAATAATAGTAAATGATGCAAAAAAGAAACACATTTTAGGATTTGAAAAATGACCATAACGGTAGGCAACATAAAATCTTACTAAACAAAAATACACTTTCGTAGAACATAACAAAATTATCAAAGATTATGTAGAACATTGTTTTACTTGAATTGTATTATAACATTATTTTTTAGAGTTCGGATTATTTTTTATTAAATAAAAAGTGTATAAATTCCAAAATGCGCTCTATAAAACTTTTAGAAAATATTCATAACGTTCAAAATCTCATTCTCTATAACATATAAAAAATTATGGGGTAAAAGTTTTACTAGTGCAAAATTATCCTCATTTTTCGATAACGGAGATAGTCAAACGTGACCTATCTCCTCAAACTCATTTTGTATTTTTGAAAACTAAGATAGTCAAACGTGACCTATCTCGAGACGAACAAATTTCTTAATAATTTGAATATAAGCATTATTAACTCATTTCTTTTTAAGAACTCTCTATATCACTTCTCTTGGGACTTTATCATATGCTTTATCTAAATCAATAAATATCATATGTAGATCCTCTTTATTCTCTCTATATTTCTCCATCAAACCTCTTAATAAAGATGATTAAATTATTATATATATATTTATTCTTCTTAGTATCTAATATATTATATAAATTATTAAAAGCTAAATATTTTGCATCGCATATTACTTTCTTAGACTTCTTACATGCTCTTTTATATCTTTCTCAATTTTCTGAGCTTTTAAATCTAAACTAATTTTTATAACAAAGTTTATTATCTTCGATCTTTTCTTGCACATTTTGATTCCACCACCAATTATTTTTACCGTTAAGAGATTTGTTTTTTGATACCCATCAATGCATCAGCAAAATCTTCTTACAAAAAATTGAGTTTAATATGACATGAAATGGCTATTAATAGTTATCGCTTGTTAATATAATGGCCGCAATACTTAAAGCTATTAATTCAGTAGTATTCAAAATATCAATAAACTAAAAAACAGCTAATGATGTGAAATATGATCCTCTTAACCTCTTAACCTGGTTTGTTGACTAACTTGTAATGATGGAATCAGTAAGCTGGCTTTCATCAACTTACATACAGAATCACTTAATTAGCATATTTTAGGCTTTGCTTAGGATAATTTTTTTTGTTGCTTTTTTTATTATTATTTTTTATTTATTTTTTTTTGTTGCTTCTTAAAGCAGTTTTTTAGTACCAAAAAAAAAAAAATACTTAAAAGTTGTTTTGCAAAGCAATAAAAAAGCCGTCCCAAACAAAAACTTAGTCAACATCATGCGTAACTTTGATATCTAAATCATTAAACATCATTTACAACTATTCTTGGTTACTACTTTATGTACTAGCTCTCAGCAGGGCAGAATTTTACGCTGCAGTAATGGCTTCTGCTGAGTTTTCTAAAATCTTAATGCAATTCTTTGCAGGTTTGTGCAACCCTGTAGATCGCATGAAGGAGTTGCATAGTATCAGCATGTGCTCTCAGAGTCCAACTCTGCCTTCTGAGGAGGACATGTGAAGATTCTGACTCTGTACTACCATAGATTTTGTGCTTGTTCTGGTTCTTCAAACTCTGGAAAGTCTGGTATGTTCTAACAAGGCTCCTCCCCGCCCAGTAGAAGCTTTCTACTTCTGAAATAAGAGCTTCTAAAATAATTTTCAATGGCATGTCATTGTTTCTATAGAGAGAAAATAATGGTTGGATTAGAGCATTGTTGGATTAACAAATATATTTTTTAGGATTATACATTTTTTTAATGTGCTCAAACAAGATTGTCCTCTGAACACTTTTTTTTTTTGCTATGTTATTTTTAGCAGGAATGTAAACATATTTTATACATTTGATTTGTAAATAGTAATGACATATGACATTTCTTTAATGGTACAGTCAACTTGTTGAGATAAGTCTGCCTGTGAGCAATAGTATGTTCGAAAATAAGAAATAGTTAATGCATGCAAGAAAACACAGAAGAAAAGAACATATGAGAATTTTCACCCGTTCTTAGGTCAGCCTAAATAAAGTTTCCCCATACCACCTCATCACCTAATCTCCTAACCCTAGCCGCCTCCTTCCCTCCTCTTGGCTGCGACTTCCCCTTTCCTTGGAGATCCCGCCGCCTACCCCTCCTCCCCTTGAAGAAATCTCCACGCCAAGCATGTATGGCGGATCCGGAGTTTGAGTGGGGATTAGTCTTCAACGCCGACGGGAGCATAAACATCCTACGATCACCGTGCTTCGACGTAGGATTTGAAGACGAAACCACCGTGGAAGAGTACTTGGAGAGAGTCGTCCCGATCCTTGCAAGCATCTACGACCGACAATTTGCTAAGCACACTTGGAGTCTCGAAAGTCAAACATTCACGCCCTCCTCGTCACCGTCAACTTCTCCGTGGCTAAAGGCCATTAGTGTGGCCACCATCTTCGTGGCATCGTTGAGTTTGTTAAAAGCCTTCTCCCGCTAACCCGAATTGAGTGTGAGTGATCAAGGTACTCATTGTGAAATTTCTAAACATTAGTCGTGGGATTTTATTAATTTACCGCATTTGCTTTGTTGTGAACTTTGAGATTCATCATTAATCGTGCCTAAATACTAGCTTGAAATTGCTTATCATAATATTTCTTCAATGGAAAATGCTTGAATCTTAATTTGCGAAAGGCCTAATCTTACTTGAGTAAGCTTTGTGAATCTTAATGAATTTCATGTGCAATTCTTGAATGTTTCACATCAATTAGTATATTTATACCTTTTTTTCCCTTGAGCTGACAAAAAACTTCAGCATCTGAGACTTCTGCATCCATCTCACACTAGAGGGGTGTAGAGAGAGAAACATTTTTTTGAAAAGAGAGAGACACTGCTAGGGTTTTGCCCCTTATGTTCCCGCCGTGTCTCCTTCCTGATTCTGGCCGCCTGATGGGGGCTTCTCCCCCCTCACCTTTCTTCTCCTTATGTCTTCTGCTACTTACCTAGCTGGTTCCCCCCCCCAACTCAATGCCTTCTGGCCTAATTTCATCTCTAACTTAACCTGACATGATCTGGTTGCTGACGAGTTTTCCCTCTCCTCTATTCCTCTTACCGTCAAAATTACTTTCTCAACTAACGACATAGCTTTGGGTGCTCCTGTTGGAGCTTGTCACTGTTCGGGTATTCTATTGGCCCTCGGCTTACCTATTTGAGTCTTCTCAACTCCATTAAGAAGTTATGATCCCCCAAGGGCTCGATTGACCTACTTTCGTTGAATGATGGTTTCTTCCTCTTCAAGTTCTCCTCTCTAGAAGACTTTGAGGTTGCTTGGATCGTAGGACCCTGATTCTTTTTCGGTAGACCTTTCATCCTCCAGAAGTGGACTCCTAAGTTCAAACCGAAGAGAGATGAGTTTAGCTCCATCCCCATCTGGATTAAGATCATGGACCTCCCATTAGCAGTTTGGAACCCTATTGGGATCTCAAAGATTGCTAGCTTCGTTGGTCACCCTCTGGCGATGGATGCTTTCACTGCGAGGAAAACTCGCCTCACGTTTGTCAGGGTATGTGTAATTGATTTCTAGCACCTCCTCTCTTCCAGATGAAATTCCTATTTCTCTATATGGCGACAATTTCTCTCTTAAAGTTCATTATGATTGGAACCCCACTCCTTGCACGGGTTCTGGCTCTCTTGTTCATCTATCTAACCTTTGCCACATTAATCCTCAACCAAAAGCTTTTCCACCCCCGCAACCTTGTGGCAGAAGCACCTTTAGAGCTCAAACCTCCCGCCCTCCTAACCTGAGACCTCCTGTTATCCTTCTTAACCTTGCACTGGGTTTGCTTCCACACAACACCCCACATCCCTCTGAAAATTCGTTGGGGATGTTAGGCCCCTTATGAACTGGCCCAAGACTAATTAAGAGATAGGTGAATTGATATTTTAAATATCTTTAAAACAAAATCAACAAACCCAACCAAATTCACCATAAAGAAAACACAATTTGGAAATTAAATGCAGAAATAATAAAGGAAAGAACACACCAGATTTATAGTGGTTCGGTGAAACGTTGACCTACGTCCACTCCTTGGAGGCACCCTCCGAGTATTGCACTAAACTAAGTGTCTCTCATTTAGCCCCCCACAGCTAGGTGGAGAAGCCCTTACAAAATCACTTCCACCTTCCCCAGTGCGGCGGAGTCGCCGGGTTCTTTAACACAAAAGAGATCTTCTTCTTCTGTGAACTTCCCTCAAGACAAGCCTTGAATCCGACGGTACTAAGGTGCAAGCTTGTTGGAGCAACCGTGTGGAATCCCCCTCCACACTCCCTTGAGTCCCCCCTTACAGGATCTTCTCCCTCTCTCAAACTTCACCCTTTCCTCACTCCCTTTCAAGCTCTCTCTTCAAGTTTTCCCCAAAAGAATGAAGCTACAATGGCTGCCAAAGACACTTACAAAAGTGCATTGTCAAAAGCTTAAATATAATATCTCAAAACGAGCTCATTAATGCAACTTGTTGACTTTATCGTCCAAGCCGATATGAATATCATCCTGGCCGATATGAATATCGTCCTGGCCGATAAGTACAAAATAAGCTCAATCAGCCGGGACGATTTGAGACGATCAGAAGAAAATTTGTTATATCGTCCAGGCCGATACAATATCGTCCTGGCAGATTAGTTCAAATCCGAGTATAGTCATCCTGATCATCGCCCGGAATAGAGCTGGCCGATGTCAATCATCCAGGACATCATCCTGGCTGATCCTGCGATCGGCCCGGTCTATAATTACCAGATTACCAGATTAATTTAGGCATAATTGAGCTGCATCGTCCAGGCCGATGTATATATCATCATGGCCGATGTCTTGAAATAAAGAATACCTAAATTGATCATGGCGGATAATTCTTTCTGATTTGAGCCTATCGTCCTGGCCGATACAAGGATCGTCCAGGCCGATCGGCTTAATGACGGCTGCCTTAATGAGGATGATGTCATAATTATGGTTTTTGTTTTTGAACCAATCGTCCAAGCTGATATAAATATTGTCCCGGATGATGTTACCAAAAACAGTAAACTCTAGGGAACAGTTAGAAAATCTTCCAAGGTGTGAATGAGCAAGTTTACAAAGCATCAAGAGCCACACCAAATACAATAGACTCAAGAAAGGAAAAAAGGTACAAGCTGACTCAGACCTAGTTTACCAAATCTTGAGCTGATTTCAAATTGCAGTATGATCTTGTGGACCTGAAATGTCAGTAGATAAGGTAGTCGTAGAGAAATAAGAGTGATTGCTATAATCAAAATCATTATCCATGAAAACAGATCCGCAACATCCTTTGTTGTTACTGCCCCTCCACAACCTCCTTCTAACTCGCCTTCCACTTCCTCCAGGGATGCCCAACCTCCTCAACCTCCCGTGCTTTCCCTTATCCCCTTTTAGCGTTCTGGTGACTTACCTCATCCTCCCCCCATCGGCTCTTCTGCCTCCTCTCTACACGCTCCCCTTCCCCCCCTTCCACCCAACCTGCTCTCCTCCTCCTGGTAACCTTTCTCCTGAGGTCCCTAACTCAAATTTTCTTATCCCCAATTTGAATTCTCCTACTGAAAAAGTTTCTTCTTTTGACAGCCCTTCTTCCCCTCATATACTGTCCCCTGGCCTTACTAGTCATTCCTCCCCCAAAGCTCATAATCCTCATGACAGAGTTATGGGCTCTCACTTCTCCACGGCTCAGGTCATCTCCCCGAACAAATTCAATATTTTGCAACAAGAAGAACCTCTAGATCAGGACAAAAATCTGCTGGGAACGGCTTCTGAATTCTCTAAAACCCTGCAGTCTTGCTCATCTAAAACTTCAAAAGCCAAAGGCACTAAGAAGGCGCATCCTTCCTCTAAATCCAAATGACCCTTCCACACATTGGTTGCTGGAATGTTCCGGGGTTTTAATGCCCCCGACAAAGTTCTAGCTTGTAAACAACTTGTCTCCTCTCATCTTTTGGACATGTTATGTATTCTGAAAACTAAAATCCCTTGCTCTACTTTGGATGACGCTTGGTTCATGAATTCTCATCACATTTTTCCTAATGAGTTGAGTTGTAATAACTTTAATTTATCTTCTCCGGGGAGGATTTGGTTAAAATGGAAATGAGCTATTATCTCCTTTACCCATATTATTGCTCACCCTCAAATGATTCATGGATAGTTGTCTACCGGCTCACTTTTTCCTTTTCTTTTGACTGTTGTATATGCGGCCAACTCTCCTATGGATCGTGCTCCACTTTGGTATCTGTTAACTAGCCTGGCTAACTATATTTCTTCCCCTTGGATTGTTATCGGAGACTTCAATTGTTGTAGAGAGGCGAAATATAAATTTGGGGGCAATCCTATTCATTTCAGTAGATTTGGGGAATTGAATAATTGGGTGTTTAAATCAGGTATGCTGGACTTAGCCTCTAATGGTTTGTATTACATTTGGTTTAACCAAAGGATAGTCAATCCTATACACATTAAGTTGGATAGATTTTTTTTTATATATACCTACTGTGTATTGCATATTTCTTTTCTTTTCTTTTTCCTCAAGTATTAGACATTTTGTTTGATATCTACCAAACTTACTCTAAATTTTAAATAAATACTAAAATTTATGTCAACCATATCAATTGAGATTCAATACGGGGTTCCAATCTGCCACTAGTACTAGTGATCAACAATCAACATTGGACCCTTCTAGTGGAGTGCTGATTGTGATGATGACCATAAAGATTGACAAAAAAAAGTCAAAATTAAGGGCCGAACTAGCATATGCCATTTTCTTATAATCATTAAATAAGTTTGTGTGGATATTATTTAGTTTGATATATAAAATAACAACATTTGTTCGATTAATTTTTTGCAAAGATTTATAGTCTTTTTGTCTCATTTGTTTATGTGAATTGCTGCCTGATGCTAATTGCCAACAAAAAATAAAATAAAATAAACAACTTTGTACAAGGTGCAACATTGCGAACTAGTTTCAAATAAACAAATGCAACAATGTCTGTATCAGAGGAACAATTATTACGTCATCTGACCTGACGTAGCTCTACGTTTGGCCGCCAATAACATGTCGCCACGTGCTCTCATTCTTTACCGCGTGGCCCGACGACTTGACCCGGACCGGAACTTGGGATTGCTATGTTCGCGTATTGTTAGGTATTACTTGGTATTTGCTCGGTATTGCTTGGCAATAACGAGAAATACCGCTCTGTGAAGACCAATACCGAGTTTTTCTAGAGAAATACCAAGCAATACCGAGTTTTTTAGAAAACCTCGGTATTGCTCGGTATTTCTCTAGAAAAACTTGGTATTGCTCGGTATTTCTCGGTATTGCTCGATATTTGTCTTCACATAATGGTATTTCTCGTTATTGTCGAGCAAAATCGACCAATACCTAGCAATACCGAGTTGTCATTGATTTAAAATACCCACGAGCGACATACCCACTATTTGCCAGGTCGGATCCGCATTTTTGTACCTGCTACGTGGCGCGATCTCAGTGTTGACCGAACGTAGAGCTACATCCGGTCACCGGACCAAATAAAAGTTCGTATCAGAGACAGTAATACACAGTGTGCATCCCGAAAAAATAAACATTTCTAACATAATTTTCCTAATAAATAGCTGTGTACAAACTCAAAAAGCTATCAAATGAACAAATACAACAATGTGTTTTACTATAAACTTATACAGAACAAAACATAGTGTGTATTAGAAAAAATAAACATATTTTCAACATAATTTTTCTAATACATTGTTATGTAAAAACTCAAAAAAGTTTTCAAAACAAATACAGCAATGTGTATTGCTATAAATTTATATCTAAACATGTACATAATAATACATAATAGTACACAGTGTGTATTAGGAAAATAAACATATTTCTAACAAAATTTTCGTAGTTACATTATTAAAAAATTTGAAGAATACATCATAAACCCTAAAAAACTATATATTTATATTGAATTTTTAAAAAATCGAAAAATGTTTTACATAGTTGTTATACAAAAGCATGTTTGTTTGCGACATTCAACAAATAATTGAATAATACACTTTAAACTCTAAAAAAATTATATTTACATCAAACACATATAAACTTGTAAGGAGTTCAAAATTTACCTATAATAAATCTCCCATTGTTGGTTGTAGTAAGTCTTCCTAGGCATTTTGCATGCCGCCTTTTATCTCCTCGGAGAATGTGACGTCCTCCAAACCAATTTTCATCTCCATCACCCATTTCTTATTTTTCAGCAGGTATCAAAAGGTGATGTTTCGGTTGCCAAAATCCTAAATATTTGGACTCTTTCGTAGATTTCTTTCTTAAAAACCTAAAAATGAATGTCTAGACCGGATCGAGTTGTCAGCCGCACGTATCAGCATTTTATTTGAGTATGGACGTAGAGCTACATCCGGACTCCACACCTAATAATTTCTCCAAGAATACAGTCCCCATTAATACACAATTGTGTACAAATTCAAAAAGCAATCAAATGAACGAACACAACAATGTGAATTGCTATAAACTTGTACATAACAATACAAACTGTCTATCAAGAAAAACATTAATACATTTCCAACAAAATTTTTCTAATACACAGCTTTATAAAAACTCAAAAAGTTTTCAAAATAAATACAACAATGTGTATTGCTATAAACTTGTATTTAAACTTGTACACAACAATACACGATGTGTATTAGGAAAAATGAACTCAACATACTTTTTGAGCTTTATAAAAACTCAAAAAGTTTTCAAAACAAATACAACAATGTGTATTGCTATAAACTTGTATTTAAACTTGTACACAACAATACACGATGTGTATTAGGAAAAATAAACATATTTTTTAACATAATTTTTATAATTACATTATCATAAAAATTGGAAGAATACATCCTAAACCCTAAAAAACAATATTTATATTGAATTTTCAAAAAAATTTAAAAATGTTTTGCATAATTGTTATACAAAAGCATGCTTCTTCATTGCATTTGACATATAAATAAGTGAAAAATACGTCATAAACCCTAAAAAACTATATATTTACAGTGAACACAGTAAAACTTAGGGGGCATTTAAAATTTACCGATAATAACCCCAATTTATCTCCCATTGTTGGCTGTAGTAAGTCTTACTGGGCATTTTGCATACCGCCTTTCATCTCCTCGGAGACTGCAACGTCCTTCAAACTAGTTTTCATATTCATCGCCTCTTTCTTGTTTTTCTTTCTCATCAGGTATTGAAATGTGATATTTTGCCCGCCAAAATCCTAAATATTTGGGCGCTTTCGTTGATTTCTATCTTAAAAACCTAAAAACAAATGTCTATACCAAATCAGGTCATCAGGCCGCACGTGTTGGCGTTTTATTGGAGTCCGAACGCAGAGCTACCTTCTGACGTATTCTTTTTGAAGTGGATTCAAATAATTTATAATTAATCTTCATTATTTTAAATTATTATTTTGAAATAAAAAAAATATTTTTAAAATGTATAACATTTAAATGCAAGAATATTAGATGAATAAATATTAAAAATTATATATATTAGTTTAATAAATATTAAATTAATCCAGTAGCATATATGTAAATCCTTCTTTAAAATAATTTTGATTGACAATGTTTTTTTTTTTTTATTTTAAAATTTAGCATTATCAAATTGCCTTGGCTCAACTTTCCTAAAGTGTCTTTTCAATTGAAGGCAAACATAGACCTTACTTTATGGGTCCACCGAAAGCTAATCTTAGGCTTCATTTAAGACTATTTTCTTATTGATTCTTAAAGTAATTTTTAAATATATTTTTATTAAAAAAACTACTTCAACAAGTAATCAAAAAGACATCCCAAACAAAGAAAAATTATTAGTTGGCGGACACAGGGTACCAAGCGGTACCCAACAGCATCGAGTGATACCTAACTAGATACCCTATACTTGTGTGCGGACTGTTCTCCCCGTCCGCACCACGCACCTAATAATCTCTCCCAAACAAAGCCCTACACTGCTACATTCGACTGTCGCATTCGGCTGGCGGAAGTTCAAAATTTTTTAAAACAATTTTGTATGACTATTTTTTAAAACAATTTTTAGTATAAAAATTTCTAGCTCAAAAAATTTTTATATTAAAAATCTGCTTTTTAAAAAAAATAGCAAAAGTTATCCCAAACAAAATTTTGTAATTGAATTCACGAACTGAAAAGTTGGACATTACTATCAAAACGACTGACATACGAACCTGGCAATGGAAAGAAAAGGAATACCACATACCGGTAAAAGCTTCCAACCAATCCCGTTTTGTTATGGGCTGAGGCTGCGTGAAGATAACGACAGCCATTTAGATGTCAAATTATTGCATCAGTTCACCGGACGCGGAGAATAAATTCGGACGTCCAATAAAAATTTATCTCGTCACCTGCGCTTTTGACTTGAGTTTTAATTACACTTTGACTGCGCTTTGACCTGCACTTTACCTACGCTTTACCTGCGCTTTACTTGCACTTTACCTATGCTTTTGACGCGCTAAATTTAAAATAATATTTTATTAATATCCAGATCTATCTCTGCGTCCAGTGACCGGATGCAATAATTTGCCCATTTAGATAGATGATTTAGTATTAAACTAAGCTTCATCTGAGACAGTTTTTCTATTGCTTCATAAAGTTATTTTCTAGTATAAAAAAATAATTAAAAAAAAATGTCACAAACGAAACGTCAAAACCTTAAAATGATAAGCTTCTTATATCCCATAATGTGGCAGTAAAAAACCATCTACCCAAATTTCATATAGTGACAGAATTTGAAGGCAATGTAGAAGTAATAAAAAAATACAAACAAAATTTTCCAATGTGCAGCAGATCAAAGTGTTTCCACATTAACATTTTTTTCTCACTGGAAAACTGCTAGCATAATTAGAGGCAATAATCTGTTTCTAAATATTGGAAAATTATTACATGCGGCGTCCGGATTCGTTCGGAGGCGAATCCGGACACGCCACGTCACCCGGGGCCCGGTGCATCTGGGTGACGTGGCGCGTCTGAATTCGCCTCCAAACGATCCGGACACCGCATGTAATATTCTCACCTAAATATCAAACATAAACACCTGTTGCCAGGAGAAGGAACAGTGATCCAAAACCCTGCAATAACAGTAAATAGGCAGTGCTGCTTACTTTCCAGTAAATTTTGGTGATTGGTTCATTTATTAATTCAACTTTTCTTTATGCGAATTTACATACCAAAAATACAGAAGCGAGAGCGCCAGTTGCAATTTCCTTTGACAGGCTACGATTCCTCCTTGATGTAGTGGCTTCATAGCTGCAAAATGCAAAGCATTGGAAAGAGGTAATAATAAGTACTACAAATTTCTCAAGTAAATTCATGAAAAGTATGAGTTACCTAAGAGAAGGTAGAGCTGCTTGTTAAGTTAAAAATAAAATAAAATTCAAAACGGTGAGTGAAACCGACATCATAAACAAGCAAATATTATGTGATTGTTATCCATTTGCTACCACTAAAATAAGGCACTGCAAGCAAAAGCCAAGTTTTTAAAAAAGAGATTTTTACATACATAACACTTAAAACTTTCGAAAATACATATTCAACACTCAAATTATTGTACTTACTGATATACCACCTAAAATCCTCATTTTCCTCAATTCTACCACTCCGTTCAAACCCGTCAAAAATCCCGCCTCATGTCGTCTTCCGTACGTTCGTGCGAAGCAACTGCGGCCATGGAGATGTCTTCGGCAATGTGGAGCAGCAAAATGCCTGACCTGTCGCTTCTTCGTGGCGAGCGTCTTCATCGCGAGAGCGAGAGCAGGTTTGCTCTTTTTTTTCTCCATTTCTTCGGTGCAGTGAAACATTTTTTGCTGGAAGGAGCTCTTGATCTCTGCCATGACTTTTGTTGCTGCTAATTTTTTGGATGACCAGGGTTTCCCTTCGAAGCCATTGCTCCAAGCGAATTCCTAGGCTCCAAATCCCACCTCGTGTTAAAAGAGCATCCATCGCCACCGTAGCTAGGGGATCGAGGAGCTCCGAATTCAATGTAATTCTTCTTCTCATCCATCACTGCTCCGACATAACCTTCACATTTAATTTGAATCAAAATTTGTGCGCTGAGTGAATTTCTCGGCCGTTTCTCTTCTCCTCCACGTCATTTGTTGTTTGATTCTCGTCCATCTATGGAAGACGAGGCGTCGCTAGTCTAGCAGTGATCGACGACGAGTTGAGTCTTCTGATTGAGAGAAGGTTAGAGAGAAAATGCTGTAGGAAAATAGAAGCAGAGGAAGTAACTAAGGGTTGCTGCTTCTGCTTATCAGAAATAGTGGTTGTAGAAATCGTGCCCTTGGAATTCTTTCCAGAAGATCTGCTCACTCTTCTTTCTCTGATAGAACCTAAGAACACTCGAACAGGAAGAAGAAGGGATTTCATACGTGAAAGGCAGAGTCAGGGTGGCTATTCATGGAGTTTTTGACGGAGTGATAATTTTGATAAATCGAGGGTATTTGAGTTGTATGTATGTAAATAATATATTTTAGGTGTTAGATAAGTAAATATAATAGTTTGAAGTGTTAAGTATGTAAAAATCCCTTTAACAATTATTAATTTCCAAGAAGTTGCATGTATTTGAAAATACGGTGGAAATTACTAAGGGGCTGTTTAGTTGGCTGAAAAATAAATACAAAATAAAAGAAATATAGTGAAAGAGTAATATAGTGTATTTGAATTACTTTGGAGTTATTTAGATGAGTAAAATTAATGTGGGGAATTACTTTTTTGAAGTTTGGCTTGAAGTAAAATGAATGCAATAAAAAATTCAAAGATAGGATGGTTAGTGGTGGTGGAGAGAGTGGTGAGAGCAAGCAGCGGTGGCAGGCGGTGGTGGCTACAACTGGAGGTGGCAGCAGTGAGCAGAGGCCGGCCGTGTTGGAAGGCGGCGGCTGCGGTGGCATTGGCATTGGCTAGCAGGTGGCAACAGGCAATTAAGTTCCAATGAATTTGAAATTCCAAACATATTAAAAATGAACTACATGGTGAATTCAAAATATATCAAAATTTTACACTGCATTAGGTTTACTTCAAACAAAAAACTAATATTCTTCAAACCCTTGCATTTATAATACTATGAATGCAATAAGAAATTCAAAGATAGGAAGGTCAGTGGTGGTGGAGAGAGTGGTGAGGGCAAGCAGCGGTGGCAGGCGGTGGCAGCTACAACTGGATGTGGTAGCAGTGAGCGGAGGCCGGCCGTGTTGGCAGGCGGCGGCTGCGGTGGCGTTGGCGTTGGCCAGCAGGTGGCAACAGGCAATTAAGTTCCAATGAATTTGAAATTCCAAACATATTAAAAATGAACTACATGGTGAATTCAAAATATATCAAAATTTTACACTGTATAAGGTTTACTTCAAACAAAAAACTAATATTCTCCAAACCCTTGCATTTGTAATACTTTACACCCTTTAACTTCAAACCAAATAGTCCCTAAATGATTTCCCCATAATTACATCAAGACTGAAGTCTCTGAATAGAATACTACAATAGAATACTACAGAGTATCAAAATAGGTAATTTTTATCTACATCAATGTAAAAGATGACGGATAGTTAAATAGCTGCTGGTAAAATCTTAAGCCAAAATTCTATCAAATCAATTTAATTTCAATTTTATCAGCGCTAAGGTTCTCCTCCAAAAGTGAAGAAACAAAATAAGGTGATAATGGCGAAAAATGTGTAGACACTGACTGCAGCGTCTCTTTTAGCCGAAGCATCATAGTTTCACCCGATTAACTGTGGTGGGAAATAGACAGCCCGTGAATGAGAAAGAATTTAACCCAATCGACAGAAAAAATGGGTATAGTTTGACTACGACAAGCTAAAGCTAGATTTTTTATCTAAAATGTTGAGATTTAAAAGGGGAAGTCTAGAGAATTAGGGAATAAAATAATTTTAAAAATAAATAACACAATCGTAAGAAACTAAATGAAACCAGAAGAGTAAAAAAATATAACGAACACTATAAGCTATTGTCTGTTCAGAAGATTACCAATGTGAATCGAGAAAGAGAGAAATGGATAGAATGTTACATATAAATTATTGAGATAAATAAAATTAGTGAAAGATTTTATTAAATAGTTCATTATTGGTTAAAATAATATAAATGTAACTAGTGCTCACACTTCTCAGGCTAAATTAACATAAGATTAAAAACATTTTTCATAGAAATGAATAAATATTACAACCATGTATCATTTAAATCTTGATAATCTTAATCTCATACTGCCTTTTAAATCCTCAAAGCTCATAACCATGTAACATTCAAAAATAAAAAAACTATATTACAAAAAATGATTTAGATGTAAAAGATGAAAAAAATCAAAAAATACATAAAGTGGTTTGTAAGTAATATAAGAAAGCAACATGTGAGGCAAAGGATTTAGTTTTTAATGATTTATATAATATATTAGATACTAAGAAGGGCAAAAGATATATGTATAAATTTAAGTGAAGTGCATTAAAGATGAAGATAACAAAATATTTTTATTAGAAGAGGATATTCATCAAAGATGAGTGAGATATTTCGATAAAGATTGTGAGAATACGATTGACATTAGTGACTTTAATGCCCTAAATGAAAATAAAGATTTTTATTTTTTTCGTCGTATTAGTAAAACCAAAGTTAAAGAAGCTTTTAGGAAAATGAAATATAGAAAAACTATTGGACCTGATGATATTCCAATAGTGTGGAATTGCTTAGGAGAAGAAGTAATTTCTTGGCCTACAAAACTTGTCAATATTATTTTGAGGACTAAAAAGATGCTAGAAAAGTGGAGGAGTGTGTTGATTCCTATTTTTAAGAATAAAGATGATGCACAAGAGTATGCAAAATATAGAGGAATTAAGTTGATGTGCCGTAAATCTAAACAGTGGGATTATAGGAGAGAGTTATTGAGCATAGGTTACGACGTGTTACTAATGTTTCTCAAAATCAATTTGGATTCATGCTGGGTAGGTCTACCATGAAAGCTATATATTTATTGAGAGGTTTGATGGACAAAGAATCTACATATGATATTTATTGACTTAGAGAAAGCATATGATAAAGTTTGAAAAGAAGTGCTCTGGAGAGTTCTAAAAAAGAAATGAGTTAATAATGCTTATATTCAAGTCATTAAGGATATGTATGTAGGAATTGTTACTTGTGTTCAAACACAAGGTGGTTTGACAAAGTATTTTTCTACGTCAGTTAGATTACATCATGGATCAACTTTAAGCCCATATCTTTTTGCTTTAGTCATGGATATTCTTACTAAATATTTACAAAAGGATGTGCTCTGTTGTATGCTTTTTGTTGATGATATTTTTTTGTTGATAAGACTAGGAGTTGAAGGAAAACTTGAATTATAGAGGTCAACCTTAGAGTCTAAAGATTTTCGTTAGAGTAGATCCATAGTCGAATACATGTAGTATAATTTTAGTAGTAATACATCTAGTGGGGGATTGTGACTTTGGGTGATTAAGTCATTAATAAGAGTAAACATTTTAGATATTATGGGTCTATTGTTCAAAGTGATGGTCAATAAATGAGGATATCAGTAGAGTTCAAGTTAGATGGTTGAAGTGGTGGAATGCACAAGCCTATTTTGTGATAAAAAAGTACCCATCATACTTAAAAGGAAATTCTATAAGATGCTGGGGAGACCTGCAATGCATTATGACACATATTGTTGGTCATTAAAAGAGAAGAATAAAATTAAGTGTTGCAGAGATGAGGATGCTTAGGTAGATGACTGGTTTCACTTTTAGAGATAGAATGCGAAACGGGTGTATATGTGAAAAGATTGGAGTAGCTCCAATGGTTGATAAGATTATAAAGAGTCTCCTTAGATGGTTTGGACACATAAAACGTCAACCTTTCAATGACTCGATTAGAAGAGTAGATGTATTTAATTTGACCTATGTTAAGAAAGTTAGAGATATGCCTAAAAAGATTTGTATAGAAAATATTAGAAATGACAATTTTTATTAAATTTAAATGAGAATTTGATTTTTAACAGGACACAATGGAGAAAAATGATTCATGTAGCAAAATCACGTAGTGGGATAAAGGATTGATGTTGTTGTTATTGTTATTGTATAATCCTTCTTATTAGTACATCTTATACTTGTTTTTTAAGAACTCAAATCACGTAAAGGTTATTTTGCATCATCATATTACTTTTATGAGTGTCGCCATAGTGACATCAAAGTAAGTCACTATCTATGTTGATAGTCCTAATTCACAATCCCAAAAAAGGTTCATGTTTACACCCTTGT